ATTTTGATTTTTTGTAATTTCTGCATCATTTAGCAATTAAACTGGCATTTCTCAAAATAATACTGCAAAATATAAGCGTAAAGCTGATACAAATTTCTCTCAAAATAAAAGAAAAAATTGCTCAACACATGAAACATTTTCCGATTACTGTAAGTTTATCTTGTGAAGAACGAATATTCATGTTTTTTTCTTCGGACCTTAACAAAGCTTTTTGCTTTTTTTTTTACAATTTATTTTGCCATCATTCGATGTTCTGAACACAATTCTACAAAGCAGAATTCCATTAATTCATGTTTTGCAATCAATGATTTATGATCTGTTTAAAGACATTTTATCAAAGTTTGTAAAACCAGTCTGTGTTTTGTCTTGTAATTCTATATATGATGTGATTTATGGTGAAACAGAAAATCAGAAGGAAGAAGAAGGAAGATGAAGATTTGGTAATAGGAGCTGCAACTATAAAAGTAGTGGAAGAACTTTCAGAAGAAGACAAAAATAAGTTTTATCTTCATGTTAGAAGTTACTTCTGTCGAGTATGTGATTACACACTACATAAATTTTCAGTCAACGATGAAGTGATTTTGCATGCTAAAGTTGCTGATGTTTCTGCTCTAGCAAATGCATCTTTTTTTTATATAAGGTACTTTTTGAATAGATTTCCTGTGTTACTTCGTTTAGTCATGAAAGATGATGATATTGATGTTGCTACTGATATACTGCAGTCGCAATTTTGCAGTTTACAATTAGAAAACTTGGATGAAGTTATAAAATCAGCTAGGATTGACACCCAGTGGAGGTTAATTGGAAAATTGAAAGGTGCTGATGGAATTTTAAAATATAGTGAACTCTCTAGAATTATGTTGGCCATCTTGACAGATCCCCATAGTAATGCAGAGTGTGAGAGAATTTTCAGTGTTGTTGCGAAAACGAGGACTAAATTTAGATCTAATATTAGTGATGACACATTAGAAAAACTTTTATTAGCGAAAGCAGGCCTACGTGACAATTGCTATGGACAAAATTATGAAGTTTCTTTCTTAACGAGAGCAAAATCTGCCACTGTCCATAACATTTGTATGAAAACTGATTAAAGTGCCTTTTTTTTTTTTTTTTACGATGAAAGTAATAAAAATGTTTTTTATGTTTAAGGTATTTAAGGTTTTGTCTGCATTTAAGACTTAGTAACTATTTAAAGTTAATTCATTATTAAAAACTATATTTTTATCATTTAAAAAGTCTTTTTAACATTGTGAAAAATCTCCTGATTTCTTAAAAAAATCTTCTGATTTTTGAGTGTCATAAGTTGGCAAGTATGCCAATGTATCCTGTCTCACTCCATTCTTGACTTCAAGTTGTTTGGTAAGGTCACCTTGTTAACATATTTCTTTTTTGGCTTCCTTAACAGTCAAAGCTTGTAGTGTAACATTTTTTTTAATGTTTAATTCACATATGGCCTCAATTATTAATTCTCTAAAGTAATCATACACAGGTCTGAAATCAATAAAAAATTTGTATGTTTCATTTCTAAAATCTCTGCATTTTTAAAAAACCTGCCTTAAATTTAAAATATGCTCAATAGTTGATCTTCCCCTCCTAAAGCCCTTAAAGCCACATTAATGATCACTGATTATACGATCAGCATAAAGTAAAAGTATGTTAAAAAGAATAGTTGAGGGTATTTTATAGGATATGCACAGAAGAGTAATTCCTCTATAATTGCTGCAATCAAGCACATCTCCCTTTTTATGTATCAAATGATTAACTATCCTGATTATGCAAAATATTTCCAAGAAAACAAAATTGATTCCACCATTATTTTTACAGTCCTTGATAGTTCTGTCATAGCAAGATTACATACTGACGATCATGAGGTACTTGCTATCCGGAATAATCCTCATAAATAAAATGTCGGCAAAATATTGAACAAGGAAAGATCACTGCTGCTCATTTGTGTAGATTATTTTTTATAAGTATGAAAAATATACTCAAACTTAGGCCTAATCATTTTTTAGACAACAGTACATAGAGAATGCATGAAATGGCTGGGCAAATTCTTAATAGAAAAGCATCATTCTTTGCTAAATGAAGATACTTGCCTCAAAAGGAAGTTTATCGAAGACCATTCTATGGTGTATTTGCGTTCACTGTTTTCTTGATTATAGCAGTAAAAATTGCCAGTACATCATTACTGCAGATAGAGTGAGAAGAGTGAGGCCAAAGCCTCATGCCCTTTGCAGTATGATGTTGATAAAAGAGAGGGAAAACCAGTTCAATGAAAATTTATGCACTCGCAGAGAATTTGTTGAAGATTAATTAAGCGTAGTTAAAGTGTGAATGCTTTCTTTCACAATAGCAAGAAAAGCTGTGCAATACAGATCAATCCAAACTTTCCTACTGATTTAGTTTCCCTCCAACTCAGGATGATAGTGTATGACATTGTCATCAAACAGTTCACTCACTCTGTTCATCTCAGCATAGTTAGGATGCCACAGTCTGGTTGATGCTTGAATGTCTGCCAGATTTTCAACTGAAAATTCAGAATACTTTGCACTGACACCAACTTCTGAATTTATCAATTAAGCAGCAAAAGTAATTATAAGCTACTTTAATAACAGGATTTTATATTTCAATCATGTGTAAATTTCATCTATTTTCATTTATCAACCATTCTCAAAGTTTAGTCCTTTTCAGCTCTTCCTAATGCAAAAACTTCCTTTAAAGATATATTGCATTATCAGAATGGCGTGTGAGTTCCCAAATTTATAACCTTGTATCATTGGTATGTGAAGAATACTGCTATAGTATTTCTTTTATTTCCATTTTATCATTTCTTTTCAATTGAAGGCTAAATTTTACCAGTTTTAAATATATAAATTTTATTTTATTTAATTCCGAAATAGAAGAAAAATTGACTTCTGTGAAAAGTGTAATCATTGTCATGACATTTTTTATTACAGAATTTTATTTACAAGCCTTTCATTAATGTTTTGAATATGAATTCAACAATTTATTGATGGTCTCATTTGCTAAAAAGATACAGCAGATTTCTTTTCTCATTCTTTGTTATATATTACTTAGTACCCTCAACATCTCAACAGGTAATACCAATATGTGGTTAAAGTAATTTTTTATGTAGCTTAAATGTAGCAGGATAAATTACTGTGTGCCTTTCATGCTTTGTCGTATTCACATTCGATTTTTATATAAGAATATAAGGGAAAATATTGACAATTAAATCTTTACGTAAGCATTTTTTTCTCTCATTTTCTCTTTAGCAATAGGAAAAAGTGCATTTTATGCATGTGTGTATACATTTGTGTTGTTGTAAAGAGTGCACTCAGTCTTATGTAATGTATGTAAAGATAATTTTTCAACTATTACTGAATGCATGTGCTTCTTATTAATTTTGAAGAAAACAACTCAATGCTGTGTACGTTTACAAATAGGAATTTTTAATTTCCTTTATAAAATATTTATTTAGTGGCACTTTCAATCCTTTAAGAACTATCATGAGCTTTCTGAGGAAGAATAAGTGTAAATTACTGAATTAAGGGAACTGGATGACCTCTGTAACATCCACATACAAAATTTTGCATTGAAATTTTCAGATAAAGTACAAGCATTATATGAGCATATACTTTATTTAACGTTGATATTACAGTTTTATACGTATTCTGTTTATGCTTCTATTGTCAAATTCTTGATAATTTGCACTCATTCTTAATCAAAGTTTATACTTTGGTGACTTTATATTTAGTCTGTTAACTGTTAGTAAGAACATTAGATATGCAAGGACATTTATTAAGTTTTGCAATGAGCTGTCAAATAGAGCTGTAAAGTTTTCTATACATGATTTTAGATTAAGAAGATAATTTTACTAAGTGCTATTACAACTAGTAATAAAAACTAATTTCAAAGCGTTAAATTTGTAGAATATCTTTATGGTGTAGTGGTGATTCACATAAGCAAATTCATTCCATGAAGACATTTTTTACATGGGATGCTGTTTTTTATAAGAGAGAAATATTTGTCGCTTCCCAAGCCAAATCAAAAATCAAGAAACATTAAAAAAAAAAGGAGTGTTAAAAATATAACAGATGTTAGAAATGCTGGAATTTAATAATTTACTAATTATAATAAATACTTTTAGAATCCACGTATGAATACATTTCCTCAGTTTTTTAGTTTAGTTTATATGAGCTTTACTGGTCTTCCTTTGCATGTGAAAGACTCAGCTATCCTTTACTTTCCTGCATATCTGCTTTTGGCTTTCTTGGGAAATCCAGGCTTCAAAAACTTATCTAGTTTACCCTTATTTCAAAAACCCTGCATCTCAGGATAATAGTGTATTCTCATTGAACAGTTCAGTCACTCTGTTTATCTCAGCTTAATTGGGATTCCACAGTCTGGCTGAGGTCTGAAGCTCTAAGCAGTTCTTCAAAATTTCTTTGACGATTGCAATAGGCAAAATTCTTTTATGTTCTTTTCTTTTTCATCAGAAGAAACTTTTGTTTCTGCTTACAGAGGGCTTGTAATTTTTCTGTGGCAATATAATATTAAGAAATATGTTTACTTGTTCACTTCTGTGCTGTAGTCTTTGTTTATGAATAGATGCATTTTTTGCATTTAATTAATATATGGTGAATTCCATGTGCTTCACAGCGTGGGGCTGGTTTGAGCCATAACATTTTTGGTACATGCATATATTTGTTGGATTAGGCAATAATGAATATATTTACATTTTTCTTATTATTCACAAGCTAAAAGTATATTAAGGGGGGGTTTCCATTGCATTTCCATTACATAAAATTAAGGGGGGATTTTCCATTGCATATCAAAATTATAAAAAAAAAATCTATCTTTCTTGATGATGTAGGAATACTATATCAAAGAAATTAAGATATTTATGAAATATTCATTCAAAAATATATGATGCCATATTTTTACTGATGTAAATTTATTTTCTGAAAGTCTCATAACTATGTCTTTTTTTTCTCTAGCACTTTGTTCCTGTGAAAGAAGAAATTTTGCTTTAGACATCTGTAAAAAATATGTAAAGAATTGAATTTTTAGTTCATATTTTGTAAATATTGACTTCATATTCCATCTAGGAAAATTAGGAAAAAAAAACATTTTTACTTATGTAAACATTGTATAAATAACATTGTGTAAATAAAAATGTAAATTTTTATTAAATTGAATATTTGTGTATCATTTATCATGCCTATGTATAGGTTTTGCAAAATAATGAAAACATATATAGGGTTTTTAATGGAAGTTTCCCACCACGGCAAATATCTTCGTAAAAGTTCATGTTGACGGGTTTAATCATATTTTGTCAAACAATTTTCGGCATTTGAAAGAAAGAGACTTGCTTTAGAACAAAGTGTTGTGAAATTTGTAAAAAAATATCATTAAGTACAAGATGTCTGAAATGGAACTATCATGCTTTCAGATTAGAACCATCACTTCCAGTTCTGTTTGCAAAATGTCAGCTACAGAATATTACCAAATCATGTGTATAGCTTTAGGTACTAATGTTGTATCATGTGACAGTGACGGTTTGGTGGCAAAAGTTCAAAAACAAGGACTACGACATTCAAGAAGCAGAGTGCTCTGGCCGGCCTACTGATGGTGATGAAACCCACTTGAAAGCCTGCTAACGAGCTACACATTAGTGTCATATCCATTAGTTGTGCTATGCATTACATAAACTTGATGTACAAGTTCAATCACTGGGTACTGCATGAGCTTACTCAAACAGATGAGAACAGAGGTGTTCGAGCCTGCACTAATCTGCTCGAATATCAACACAAGAACAAAATTCTAAACCGGATCGTCACTTGTGATGAAAAATGGATTTACTTCAACAACACAGACTGAAAGTGGTTTGGTCTGCGCCGTCCGCCCGTCGCAAGTGCAATTTGATTACAAAGATCATGCTTTGGATCTGTTGGGATTGCTGTAGTATTATTCACAAAGAGTACCTGGAAAAGGTAAAACCCTCAACATAATATGTACGACGAGATGCTAGTCCATGTTAATGCTGCTATCAAGGAAAAATGTTTAACTGAATGTTCATTCAAGATGATGCAAGGCCACATGTGTCTGCATTCACTGGTTGGACTTCATACAGACTTGAATGGGGTCTTTTGCCACACCCACCATATACAGCCCCAACATCACTCCTTTGGAGTTCTATCTTTTTTCATACCTGCAGCTACATCTTGCTGGTACTATCTTCCAATCTGCATAGGGCTTCCGAAATGAGGTTGATCTGTTTTGGGGATCGCAGCCACCAAGTTTCTGGGCCAAAAGCTTTGAAAACTACCAAAACGTTGGCAGAAAATCATAGATTTGTGTGGTGATTACTACCTGCACTAAAGGTTTTACTTTCACTTTTCTAACTTTATTAAGAACGCTTTTTGGCAGAAAACTTTCATTACAACCAGATATATGTAGCTATATATTCACATCAAATTTCACTTTTGATAGCAAAGTGAATTTCTTTTATTTCAAGTGCATATTTATAACAATGTTTAGTCTAAAAAAACTCAACATTAATAAATCTATTTAAGTGTCACAAAAGAAAGCTACACCATCCCTATGTGAAATAGGAAAATTTTCTCTTTTGTTTGGCATCTCAGAATAAAGAAATAATAAAAGATCTTTTAGATTATATCCAGGTGCATCTCCTATAAGTTTAAAATTATCTTATACTACTGTGTTTATGATCATAGCTTTAGCGGTTGCAAGATTAAGCAATTCTTTCTTTCCAAATACATGCGACATAGCAGTTGTAAATTTGTAATGTGAGCTGTGTTCATTTTCACCCACATTTGATTTGCATAACTGAAATGCGAGCTGAGCTCATTGATGACCATAAGGTTAATACTGTTTCAAATCAGAGAAATGAAAAAGATATATTGTTTATAACATGCAAGTCATTTTTCACATTTCTCTTGAATCGATAGTATTTTACAAAGCACATTTATTGGCATTAAAAAAATGCAAATTTTGCAGATACTAGTCAGTAACTCCTTCCCCCTTGCTTGCTTACTCTATGTTAGGGGTTTCCATACGTTTTCAGTACGTGGTGCACTTACAGTTTGGTTATTTTTTTTCCTGGCATCTCCGTTACAATATTTCTACCTTAACGATAATCAGGCACAGAAATAAAAACAACATTTTAGTGAAAAGTATAATTTTAATTGATAAGAATAGAACAAATAAAACAAACCTTCAGTAACAAATTAGAAACTCATTGTGACAGGTGAGCATCTTGATGCCCGTACAGTTTTTCAAGTCGTGGAATATGTCTTGTGACAGCTATTCTAATTTTTTGCTCCACATTGATTTTCAAATGATATTTAGTCTTCATTAGAGCGACAGCTGAAAACCAAGCTTCGCACAGATAGGATGTTGCAAAAGGAATAAGGATCCTTAGAACTTTAGAACTTAAATACTAAATTTTGATTGAATTCCAAAACTTCTTGTTAAACTCTCTTTATCTTACAAATGTAGAGGATCAGGGATCAACATAAAGTTCTCTGCATTATTTTCAGCAAAATATTGTTACGGATTTTGTATTTATTTAGCTGTTTTTAGTAGACTTTGTAATTAAAATTGTTTTATATACCTGTGGAATGCAGCATGAGACTCATTTGAAAAGAAAGCTACACCCGAAAAATTCAAATACAAGAGCATGCGCATTTAACATTTTAATAAATAGATCTCTCATAATTGTACTCTTTTGCTATCCAGAAAATAACAGAACGTTCTAATGCATGATTAAAAAGCTTATAAAAGCCGGACCAAAACCTCTCAATTCAGTTGTTTACTAAGTTTTTGTTGTTGATTGTAGAGAATTCGAGCTGAGATTGGGTTAACTTTCTCTGTTTTTAATCGAGTTCTATTTAACGTTTTAGTAATTTAAAATATTACTACTGTGAGATATTGCGATATTTTACGAATATGACTGAGGAAAATTCAGCATTTTGTTTTATTTCTTGGGATAAAAATAAATTTTATTAACTTTTTATTGACTTGTGCATTCAATCCATTACGAACCCGTATGCACGCAACACTTTTTGGTGTCAGAAGTGGGATTTGAATGCCAATAACAAGAGCTATGGAAGAACTATTAAGGCAATTACTGTCAGCCTTTGCTACATTCAAAGAAGAGGTGAATGCTGGCCAGTCATCCGTTAAAGAAGAGAGAAATGTGGGCCAAGAATCCGTAAAAAGAGAGATGAAAGCTTTTAAAGCAGAGATAAGGTTGACGAAGATTCCGTTAAAGAGGAAATGAAAGCCGACCAAGTTTCTATTAAAGAAAATGAAAGTCGTTCAAGAAAAGACGGAAGATGGTCGAGTATCAGTTTAAAAAAAGATGAAAGTTGTACAAGAAAAAGATTGAAGCAGGTAAAGAAGAAATGAAAATAGAAATTACCTGCATAATGGAAATAAATTCGAGGCTATGAAAGGCAGAATTGATGCGGTTGAAAATAAAGTTGGACACACTGAAGAAAGAGTTTCTTCTGTAAAAGAACAAATAGAAGAGAGAGTTTCTGCCGTGGAACAACAAATAGATGACAGGGTTACTACGGTCGTCAAAGTTGATATTTTGGAAAAATTCAAAGCAGCGACGACAGGGAGCAATACAAATGGTTTTAAATTTTTACCCATGCCTGCTCGTCCCTCATTGAAATTATCCACGTATGATAGGAAATCCTCCTGGTAAGTATATAAGACACAGTTTTCTATAGTGGCGGATGGCATTCCCAAACTAAAGCATGTCATCTCGCATCTTCTCTGAGAGCAGACTCAGCGGATATCCTTCAGACTCTTCCCAAAAACCAGAAACTAGACTTCAAAGCTGTATCCGGCGTGTTAGAGCTGCACTTTTGGGGGAAGTGTTTAAAAGACTACAGCAGGCTTAAATTAAAATCCCGTCAACAGAAGCCCACCGAAACAATCGCCACGGATGTTGAAAGGCTGTCTCACCTCGCCTTTACAGAGTGCCCGAAAGGAACAAAGGAAATACTGTCTCTGCAGTACTTCATCGATGGCATTCGAGACCCTGAAATACAGAAAGCTCTGCGAATCGAATGGCGGATGTCAAGGACGTAAAAAGCACTCTAGTGTACACCATGAAATTCAAGGCAGCCCAGCAAGCAACTCGTAGAAATCGCTACCACTCAGAGCTGTGCAAATCTATGAGCCTGTGGATCAATTGATGGCTCAATTAGATGAGTTATCCAGGCAAGTCAATGCTTTGATGCAGAGTGAGAACAAACTGGCTCTAAAGTGTTGGAAATCTGGTACTTAAAGCCACATACGACGGCCCCCAGAGTCCCAGAGCTCGGAAAATAAAACAGATAATTTAACCACATAAATCAGTGTTTTGAGACGGAACAGGAGAGAAAAGAAACCAATTCTTAAAGTACTGAAACTGCGGTGTTGAAGGAACTGTAGAACACCCCAGAGCACAGAAAATAAGACAGACGAGTTAAACAGACAATTAAATGCCATGAGACGGAAAAGGAGTGATCAGAAACAAAAGTGCTGGAACTGCGGAGCTGAAGGCCAAGTCCGACGGAACTGCAGAACACCCCAGGATACAGAAATTAAGACCATTTCCCAGCAACGACACAGGAAACAAATTAATGACCAAATCGCTGAGCGGAGTTTGAAAGGTAGTGAAAAACCCCTTTTAAAGCACTCAAGATTTCTGCAGTGAGTGGCAGCAGTAATGGACTATCCATCAATGTATATATTGATTAAGTTCCTTGCAATACGATCATTGACACAGGAGCTCATGTTACCATCATTTGGAAAGATTTAGCTCAACAGTTTAAAGATAAACTCATTTGGACGTCATCCTGTGTTACCCTCCAGACTACGTCTAGTGATAAAATCGACATAGATGGAAAATTAAACATAAACATCACGTTTGGAAGTGCCGCCTATTATTACGTGGCAGAGATTACAGATCCTTGCACACCTGGATTGGACTTTTTAAGGAAATAAAATTTTTTCTTGGACTTTGAAAACAAAAGACTGCTTTTGAGAATCAGAGAACATAACTATCCATCATGAGAAGGAATCCTCACCTGGAAACTCCGATGCCTTGTCTGAAAGACCCAGCTCAGAAAGCTACCGAAATCATACTAGAGTCGAAGAGAAACGCAAGA